GTATGTAAGCGGCCAGACACAAAGCCAAGTGAGGATGTCAGAAAATCCTGAACAGGACACCACTTATCTGTGACAGACTGTTGAAACCCCCACTGCCATATTGCTGACTTGACAAGGTGTTTCCATAGCAACCTGTGTTTTCCCACTTTGCGTGTCTGTTTAAATGAAGGGGATCCTACACCTACAGACACTTCCTCTGTACCTTGCCTGTCTCTTTTTTTGGGAAACAGCTGGGGCTTGAAAAATCCTGTGAAGCTACCCTTTGTTGTAGACCAATTTATACTACAGTGTGTGCGCACACATGGTCAGTGTGTACACACAGAGCTTGGGGCACCAGCAGCCCCTGCTCCACATGGGGCTACATGCTGCATTGTTGAAGGCCGTGGTGTTATAGGAGAACAAAAGCTTGAACATCTTACACTTTCATGTATCCTAAATATGCTATTTTGATGTTATTTAATGTCAAGTTTAAATATGTTTTGTTGTTTTCTGCAGACCACATTGGATGTTTTAAATTGAATTCAGTATGTATTTGTTCAGAATCAATGGGCTTTATTTATAGTGTAGTTAGGGTAAAGAATAATATTGGCTTCTTTTTGGGGGGAGGGGTTTCCTCTCTGCTCTTGTAGTATTATATCCTGCTAAGACTTTGAGCCATTTTAAATTTTGTAGAATTTAGTCAGGGTTTTCCTGCCCCACATGCAGAACAAAAATGAAAGGGCTGTCTTTCTTACCCTTTACACTGTTGTAAGTAATAAGTGTGGTTCAGCCAAGAGAGCTGGCTTATTTGGAAAATTAGAGCAAAAGTCTCACTCCATCGACAAATGTTTACGTTTTTTACCCCTCGGCCTATTATGTTATGTTATGTTATGTTATGTTCATTGGTGTCCAAGGAAGCATTTGAACCACAAAAAAACTAAAAGGGCTCCTAAAACTGTTGTAGGTACAGTGGTTGCCTCTGTCCCCAGACCTCGCTCTATGATTCTCTCAGTATTCAAAGATTCAGATGTTTGCAAATAATTCTCAACAAACCCTAAAAGCCCCCAAAATGGTATTTAGGTCAGCTCTACCCTTTAGTTGGCTTCTTTCATGAAAACGTTTTAGTCTGATTTTGAAACCAAGAGCTACCAGAGCTAAGCAGTTTTTAGATTCCCGTATGCACAATAGTCATTCCTACTTTGTTTTCTTAACTTTTCCATGTCTCAGACAATACCATGTTAGTTTGTTTGGAAATGTATTTTAGTATTTTGAGTGTTGTTTGTGTTCATGTAGGTCATGCAGTGGAGAAAGCTCTGAATAGCTCTCATTTGTTATGTTAACAAGCCTAATCTCTGTGCACTTCCATCACCAATTGGATTAAGCTAGCAGTGTGTTGCACAAAGCACTGCTTGAAACTTGTGTGTGTTGTTATATATGTGTTTTGTAATAGTTTTGTTATAGTTTCAGGTGCTGCCTGTGATGTTTTACATAAGTAACAATACTTAGTAGTGGACTTTTACAAAATAAAGATTCACTAGCCAAAGGGAATTTAAGATTCCCTAGTATTTGATTGGATCTAATTAGCACTCTGACCATCGAGGATCAATATTTTGACTTTTAGGCATCAGCTGTCGGCTCGCTGGGTGATGGGATGCCCCTGCTGGGCCTCTTGATTGCATTAGGAGTTCAAGAGCGGGTTTAACATTGGACACCTACTGTGCCGACTGAGAGACTTCAGCTTTGATTAAGCCATTGTGGTTATTTAAAGCTTCACACTTGTTTAAGAACCTCTCAT